GTGGAAATAACAAGCTCAAAGATGGCCTATGTAAATCAAAATAAAATTTTTTTTTTTTTTTTTTTTTAAATTTAAAAAAAAGGAATGAAAATGAAGGAAAAAAAGCCGTTAACAAAGTACGAAATTTTGAGAGGTATTTTCCTTTGAAAGACATGGGGTGGCAATAACAAGCTCAAAGATGGCCTATGTAACAGCTGTAATGTAATATTGGTCTACATTTTAAAAAAAAAAGTATACTTCAGAATTCTTTGGCGCGCAGAAGTTAGGACCCAGGAGAAGTCGACATTTTTTAAAATATAAAATTACTTTAAATGCAGCCGTGCAGCCATTCTGATTTTATCCGTATAATTGTAAATGCAATAAATTATTAGTCAAAATATGTATATCTATAATTCTTTAATTTACAATATAATTTTTCATGGGCATTTTTTTTTAGTGTTATAAGGGTTCAGTTCAGCATACAAAACCAACTTGGCAAGTATGATGCACTACGACTACTTTAATACATTTTTTGTCTACTTTTGTCCAAAATTTTTTTATCCAATCAATCCAAGTGCACCCCTTGCCCTTACCTGCGGGCGCCCATGGCCTCATTTATTGTTTGTCAAGAGACACGTCTCGTATTCTCCTGATGCGCACATGGCTGTAAATAAAGATATTTGACGCAGATGGTATTCATGCATAGGGTGACTACAGTAGGTCAGTAAAATAACATGAGATCTCAATCGACTAGTCTACAGTCCAGAGTCCAATCACGTGTAGTTTGGATTAAAAACTCTGATGTATATATATTCATGGGCGCCCGCAGGGGGGAGCAAGGGGGGGCACTTGCCTCCCCCTCCCTGGATTGATTGGATAATTTTTTTTAGACAAAAATAGACAAAAAATTTAATTAAAGTAAAGAGAAAATAAAGAGAAAGTAACTAAGCTGATGTCCTGTCCGCTCGTTCACCATACAAATTCAAATACGCTACAGTAAATTAAAACTACATTAAAAGATTACTAAAAAAATTTTGCCCCCCCACCCCCAGAAAGTTAATCGATTTTTTTTGCCCCCCTAGAAAGTTTTCTGCCGGCGCCCTTGTATATAGTGGTTACCCACATTTATTTTCATCACCAGTCATCAACGCCATGCCCATAGCACAAGAGCATACGCACATAGCACAAGGGCATACGCACACAGCACAAGGGGATATACACATGACATAGCATAAAGGGATACACACGTAGAACAAGGGCATACACATATAGCACAAGGGATATACACACACAGAGCCCAAGGGGATAAACACATAACACAAGGGCGCATGCTTTTACGGTTTATTAGTTCAGGTAAGAAATGAAGTCGGAGAAACACAAAGGGACCAGAGATGTATCCCCCAACTCACAGCCAGTCAAAGGGACAAGAGATGTATCCCCCAACTCACAGCCAGTCAAAGGGACCAGAGATGTATCCCCCAACTCACAACCAGTTAGCGTAGAAAGGGGAATGTGGTGGGCGGTCCACCCAAAGGGTGGGAGGGGCGCACTTTTTTCTTTTATTCAGCAGGGGCAGTGCCGTCTTAAGGCATGGGCACCCCGGGCACTTTCCCACGGCCTCACGCCTCTAGGGGGGCTAGTGCCTCTAGAGGTCTCACGTTTCTAGGGTCATTATGCTGCCAATAGTGTTAATGAATATTGAAATATTTTTATGTCATTTAATTTGCTTTCAAAATACAGTGGGAAGGTCGTTTATCCGTTTAAAAAAAAAAAAAAGTTTATTTTGATTTTCATAACAATTCAAATTCTTTTTTTTTTTTTTTTTCTTTTTTAAAAAAAAAAAATTTTTAATAAATTTTTTTTTTATTTTTTTTGTTTTTTATAAAATTTCAAATTTTTTTTTTTTTTTTTTCTCGTTTTAGAAAAAAATAATCTTTTAATAAATTGTCTGTTTGAATAAAATCCAGATTATGTGTGTATGGTTGCCCCCCCCCAATGGGCGCCCGCAGGGGGAGCAAGGGGGGCACTTGCCCCCCCCCCCCATGGATTGATTGGATAAAATTTTTTTAGACAAAAATAGACAAAAAATGTATTAAAGTAAAGAGAAGATAAAGAGAAAGTAACTAAGCTGATGTCCTGTCCGTTCGTTCACCATACAAATACGCTACAGTAAATTAAAACTACATTAAAACATTACTAAAATTTCCTCCCCCCCTGGAAATTTAATCGATTTTTTGCCCCCCCCCCATAGAAAGTTTTGTGCGGGCGCCCATGCCCCCCCCCTTTTTTCCCCCTTTCCCATAAACAGAAATGTAAAAATCATGCACGGTCAAGGGAATCTAAATTTCAACTAAAATCTTTTCTGTTGCTAGCCGATTAAATGTAGAATGATGCAAAACTAAATTCATGTATGCACCAAAATGCACCCCATCAGGTTGAATTTATCATCATTTTCTGAGGGTTACCAGGACCCACCCCCAAACGATACCACCAGTTTCGTTCGGCGCCCTGGATCTCTTCCCCCTCCCCAGAGTGACTCTATCGACATAAAAACAAAAAAAAAACGCTGGATGTAAGAAAACACAATGGTTTTTTTTTTTAACGGACAAAATTATGATTTTAATTTAGTTTGGTATACGTAGTTGGACTATATAGATTCCAGGGGCAAAGCTAAATGAGGACCGAAAGCATATCCTCAGGGGGCTCCACTACCAGTATGCATTTATTGTTATGCATGGCGGGAGCGACGAAGTCAGAGCTGGCTTCGGGCGCCAAAATGCCTTATTTCAGTGCTGATAGATGCCCTGCACCCCGCGCCCTCACTGAACGTATGAAATGCTACCCCACTCCCCCGTCAAAACGGGTCAAAACGCATAGGGCCAACCTGGGCCATAATGCTTTTCATGACATTACTTGAGCAGTAAGCTATAGACAGATCCGTGCCGAGGAAAAGGGGCGCCCAAGGAGGACTAGTAAGACGTTTTTGGCGCCCCTGTCTATGTGAAGTGCATGTAATTTTATAGTTAAATTCACTTTTAAGGGATTATCTTAAGACGATTAAGGCTCTCCTCATGTTGGATTCAGGGATGATTGGCCCTCTAGCCCCATCCTTGCATTGCTAGCAGTAGCACTGCCACCTGACTCTCTAACACTAGCACTGCTACCTGACTCTCTAACACTAGCACTGCCACCTGAATCTCTAACACTAGCTCTGCCACCTGACTCTCTAACACTAGCATTGCCACTTGACTCTCAAACAACACTGACATTGTCACTGCTCTCAACATAGTCGGCAGTCTTTATCTGTTCCTGTTGGTGACCGTGTGATAACGACGATCGTATAACAGGATTTTGTCTCGGCAAATCTGTGGAGTCTCGAGAAGAACCAACAGGAAAGATTCGTTTTTAACCATGAGTTAACTCAGCGGCGTTGGAAAGGGGGTTCAGTCACCACCGGCTGGCATTTCGTTTCTTTATATGAAGGGGCTGCATATTCGGCCAACTGCAGTGGGTTTTTTTTTCTTCGTATAATGGAGGCGGCAACAATCTTGGCCCGCCCCGGGCGCCACATAGGCCTAGCTACGCCACTGGCTGTGACAGCTAAAGACCGTTCAAACGACGGATCATGTTGGCACCAAGCATCACTCCGTCAATAACTTTTGACGTTATGGTATTGTTGGTTTTTATTTTTATTTTACCTTTACAAATTCTAGTCTACAACATCAATTAGCTACGACATCTCGGAATCACTACTGTGCTATATAGAAACCCCTGATGTTCAGCAAAGTTCCACAAATGAAACTTAAATAAATATGCCTTTTATGTATACAATTTCAGCATGGGTAAAAAGTAACGCAAAATGGAACTTAATTTGGGTGCCTCCAAACTAGAAAATTGCTAAAAATTTGTAATTTACAGTAATATATATATTATTTGCGTAGTGTAGATCTATGATTTTCAAAAACCGATAATTGATTTTAAAAAATTAAATAAATAATTTTTAAAAAGATCATTGTCATTGTTATCTAACAAAGATTAAAAGACATAAAAAAAATAAACATGTGGTAAAATTATTCTAAGGGTAGTCGCTAAAGTATTGATTGATTTGTGTGTTCTAGAAAAAAAGATAAAATTATTACTGCGGCTTTCGACAAATAAACAGCCCGATGTCCTATCACATTGTGTCTAAAGGTCGGGAATCCCTGGTCGTAGATCTACTGAATGTGCGACGGTACGACAGCGTTCAAATGTACACAGCTATGTCACGTGGTGTATAAGCCCCCATTCATTCAACATCGGCACAGCAAGTAATACATTCCTGTGTACCTTATAGACGAGGCTGTTATTAAAGGCGGTCGTAGATAGGGGAGGCCTGAACACGACATAGATAGCTTCCACTAGTGTAGCGACGCAATGACACTGATACCGCGGGTCTATAGCGTATGGAAAAAAAAAATGGGGGGGGGGGGGGGGTGACTTAACCGTCTAGGTGCGTATACAATGCGATAGGTGTGTACAGTTACTGGCGATTGCAATGATGTAGGAATTCAAACTTATTTTAGTTATTAGTAAGATGAATAAATTGTTACTTATGCTCGGATTTTCTATGGGAATACGAAGTGCTTAGATGTAGTGGACACCTTATTATGACAAAAAAATCAAGGTTAACGGCGTTCTTTGGATATAGTTATAGGATACAGCTGAGACTTAAAACTTAAGTATTCTGACATGCTGTAACTGTCTCAACTGAATCAATCGAATTCAGAATGTGATAGTGGTAACAACAGCCGGCAATATGCGTGTGTAAAGTAGCCTAAAGTCTTGTGTGTAAAGTAGCCTAGAGTCTTGCGTGTAAAGTAGCCTGAGTCTTGCGTGTAAAGTAGCCTAGAGTCTTGCGTGTAGGGTAGCCTAAAGTCTTGTGTGTAGGGTAGCCTAAAGTCTTGTGTGTAAAGTAACCTAATGTCTTGTGTGTAAAGTAGCCTAAAGCCTTGTGTGTAAAGTAGCCTAAAGTCTTGCGTGTAAAGTAGCCTAAAGTCTTGAAGTCTTGTGTGTAAAGTAGCCTAATGTCTTGTGTGTAAAGTAGCCTAGAGTCTTGTGTGTAAAGTAGCCTAAAATCTTGTGTGTAAAGTAGCTTAGAGTCTTGTGTGTAAAGTAGCCTAAAGTCTTGTGTGTAAAGTAGCCTAATGTCTTGTGTGTAAAATAGCCTAATGTCTTTTAGTATCAGCCATCGTTGGTAGGCCTATAATTAAGTTTAACGCTTTCTCGAAGAGGTAACAGAAAAATAATACAGGTGCAATACATTGAGTAGCACGTAATAGTGGAATATGTGCATTCAGAAAGTGGATGTCCCAGGAACACATCGATTATACTTAGTGTTTATAAGTCTGGGGGGAAGTGAAGTGAATAACAGCAGTGTGTTGTGTACATAGTGGATAGCAGCAAGCAGCGTGCACATAGCGGATAACAGCAGTGTGTTTTGTACATCAGCAGTGTGAACATAGCGGATAACAGCAGTGTGTTGTGTACATCAGCAGTGTGAACATAGCGGATAACAGCAGTGTGTTGTGTACATCAGCAGTGTGAACATAGCGGATAACAGCAGTGTGCTCGTAGACATTGTGGATAACAGCAGTGTGCACATATTTAAAGGTTTGTAGACAGCATTTTTGTGTTTATCTGCAATAATAATAACGTATAAATAACACGAATAATATTAATATTAGTAATATTTAGGCCTACTGTTATTTCAAAAAGGAAAATACAAGTTATTCAATGGAAGACCATTTGATTGTAGGATCTTTAAATCTTAACACTCGCAATTGTTGCTATTAGATTTAAAGTTTAAGGAACATTTTACTTTCACGTGAATGGTGTTGGTGTTAGTAGTATTACCAGGTAGACCTTTTAAAAATTAATCCATAGACCACCGTTGTCCAAACTTCTAGGCCGACGGATGAGTTTTGGTCATGCAACAGTGCACTCATTTCTGCAGTAAATGGCGCCCTCCAAAGGTTCCGCCTGGCCCCTACACTGCGTGGACAGCTGCACGTGTTGCCCACTCAGTGGCTATCGTGACAAGGTGTCGCCCTGCTTGATTATCTCCTTAAAGCCATTGAGTAGTCTCATTTTCTGTGTAGAGGAAAAGGAGATCCGGTAGTACCCCCCCTCTTTTACGCCACTGTATGGAGAGGTGACCAAAATATATATGTTTTGGCTTGATCTTTTAATCAAGTATGTTAGTGGCGAACCTAGGAGGGGGGGGGGACTATGAGGGTTAACGCCCCGGTGGCACTTTTGGGATTTATATGTAGGTACTATTTAAAATGTGTGTTTGAAGGGCGCACTTTTGGCATTTCGTCCTGGGTGGCATTTTGTCAAGGGACGCCACTGTGGCTTAGTTTTCGTACAGCTCTATATATGGCCCGCCATTTTGAATTGAGTTGGTAACAGTGTCAACAAAAGCTTAACCCCGTGAATTAATGGCCGACATACCAAGACAGTGACTAGCTTCCCACGACAGGGCCTACACTCATTCTACACACGGAGGCCCACATTGAACACACGGAGGCCCACATTGAACACAGGGAGGCCCACATTGAACACACGGAGGCCCACATTGAACACACAGAGGCCCACATTGAACACACGGAGGCCCACATTGAACACACGGAGGCCCACATTGAACACACGGAGGCCCACATTGAACACACGGAGGCCCACATTGAACACACGGAGGCCCACATTGAACACACGGAGGCCCATATTCTTGATAAGAACGCTCCCAACATTCACAAAACGAAGGCCCACATTCAACCCCCCAAGGGCCCACATTCAACCCCCCCCCCCTCCGAGGGCCCACATTTTCATCACACGAAAGCCCCCACGGTTCGTTAGTTAACGTTCGATGAACGTGTGTCTGAAACAGTGTTTCTTTCAGAAATTCCCCCTCCCCCCCCCCCGGGGGGCACTTCAGATTTATTGGTGGGGGGGGCAGTGCCAGCAGTTCCAGTTGATTTACTGTTGGACATATTTTTCTCCGGGGGGCACTTGGCTTAGGCTAAAGTTAACATAAATGTTGTTTTAAAAAAAAATTTAAACTTTTAATGGGTAGCATTAAAAAAACTTAGAGTGCTATCGAATTGGCTGATGACTGATTGTACTGTACATAAGTATTGAAAAGTAAACATTTCTATATTTTGCAAATTCGAAATTGAAGGGGAAAAAAACGAATACCAAAGAAATTCAAAGAAACACTTTAAATAAAAAAATTGTCCACATTAGGCCTACTTTGTTGTGAAATGATTACTGACTATGAAGATAATAATGTTTAGTTTAAACAACTAGACTATATGGCCTAAATAAGAAAATATTGATGATTGAACTATATATAGACTATGGTCAAACTGTCTCCACACCCCCCCCCCCTTTTCAATTTTTTTAAATTTAAATTTAACCAACACTTTAAAAAAAAATGTTTCACAACAACCTCTTTTCAACTTCTAATAATATTACTAGTTGTGGACACATTTTACCGAGGCTCTAGTGGTTGCGACACTCGAAAGGTAATGTTTAGTTTAAACAACTAGACTATATTGCCTAAATAAGAAAATATTGATGATTGAACTATATATAGACTATGGTCAAACTGTCTCCACACCCCCCCCCCCCTTTTCAATTTTTTTAAATTTAAATTTAACCAACACTTTAAAAAAAAATGTTTCACAACAACCTCTTTTCAACTTCTAAGAATATTACTCGTTGTGGACACATGTTACCGAGGCTCTAGTGGTTGCGACACTCGAAAGGTTCAGAACCGCTGTGTAGGCGAAAGTGTGTCTAAAGGAGGTGATGGTTGAGAAATTAATTGTCGCCCTCATCCCGACTTACCGTAAATGAACGTTGGGGCAGAAAAAAAGGGGGAATGGGGGCTGAAACGACCTAGTGTGTCTCCGTCAGTGTTATGCCCCTCTCTCGATAGCACAAGTCAAACGTGCCGCCAATCAGACTCGGCGTTGTCTACGCCTGTTGCATCATCTGACCTTGGCCAGAGACAGGGAAAGATCTACTAATATAATACACTATAGAAAGTTTGGCAAGTGAATCTTGTTTATTTTCTGACAATTGACAATTGCGTTAGCCTTTAGCCGAAGGGCCGCGTTCTAATTAGACGACCAAATTTCCGGTCGATCAAATTACCGTCGATCAATTTACCGTCGACGAAATTTCTTTCGATCAAATTTCCGGTAACCGGCAAGACTACGTGGCCGCATATGGCGGCAAAAGTTTACGGACTCCGGGATGTGGAACGGCAAAAAAAAAAAATTAATTGTAACGTAAACAGAAAAAAAGAGCAAATAGGGTGAAAAATGACATGTTGGGAAAAAATAAATATGGAATTGTTTTCAAAAAGCATACGACTGTCTTTATGGCTATATTTTACTTGTCTTTATTTACGATATTACACTTCTGATTATGGTCATAAAAATTTAATGCAATCAGGCGGAATTTATGAACGCTGAGATTTCCCTTTTGTTTTGCTTTAAAAACATTTGTGTCTTTGGACATCTTAAACGTCTTGCGGACTTTTACGTAATAATCAGTTTAGGTCAAATTTTTTGGGGAACCGTTCGCAAATTTACTGACGGTTGGCAACCCTGGCAGGGGGATGGGGGGGGGGGGGCAGATCGGATGATAGTGGGGTGAGAGGAGGGATACGTATTTTTATTTTTAAACAAATAGACGATAGCCAAACAACTTTATTTGATGGCGGCTACACCGCTGATGAATCATGACAACACGGCGACCTTTTGCCAGCGTGTCAATAAAAACATGAACAAAGCAAAGGGCAAGGGTCACGTCCAGGGTTTCTTTCAGGCAGAGTTTCGGGGGGGGGGTGGGCCCCCTCTCCCAGCAAGTCAAGTACCCCCCTCCGAGGAAAAAATGTGTAAATAAATAATAATTTTTTAATATAAAAAAAAAATACTGTATTAAATTTTAATTTTTATATCTTTTAAAAAAAAAGTAATAGAAATGTGTGCCTTTCATCGATTACAATTAATGGAACCAATAAAATAGAGCTTTGTTCGATATATGTCGATGATCCATAGCGTTCAGGTTAATCTTGTTACCGGCTTACAGGATTATAAATATCGTATTATTTTGAAAATTAGCCGCTTCTGATCATAAGCCAAAATCTTACTTTTTGTTCGCATATATTGGTATTTTTATTTAATTATATATTGCAGCTTCACAAGTTGAAAGACTTTAATAACACTATATTTAACTACCTTTACATCGAAATAAAGGTCTATAAATTGAATACAGTTCTTGCTAAGTTTTAAGCATATGCAATCTGTTTTCAAATCATATTTCATCATAAAAGCATGACTAATAAAGTAGAGACAAGTGTTCATTATAAAATGTATTATAGCATTATGCTTTAAAAAAAATCGTTTTTAGCTTAGCATTTAATGTACTCGATTCCATCCATGTACATTGAGTTAGATAAAATGAAAAATGAAAAAATAAATATTTTAAAACAAAAATTAGGAATTTAACCTTTTATATACCAATAGTGGACGGTTCATCAGTTATTATTAAATCGAGTGCGTTTCTAACCACTTCATTACCACTGGGTTTTTGGGCATCGATTTTTGCTGACTCAGCATTGAAAAAACTTAAAGATGAAATTATCGGTATATTTCATTCTCTATCCGATTCGCTTTTTAACTTCTCTATTAGATCAACGAATAAGGAAATTTATAGCACTGAAATATGACTTCGATGTGACGTCCTTTGTAGTTCAGAAAAGTTCTTTCACTTTTTGTTATGACGACGATGTGACCAGGGTTACTTTCAGCCAAGTGCCCTCCCCCCCCCCCAGAGCAAAAATATGTCCAACATTAAATCAAAAAAAAATCTGAAGGGCCCCCCCCCCCCAGGAAATTTCTAAAAGAAACACTGGATGTGACGTCCTTGGTAATTGAAAGTGGGTGACCTTGACGTCGCCATCGACGTCATCGGTAAGGAAGTGTTGTGTAACAGTTTCGTGAACAACAGAGTAAAATGAACTTTAAAAAAAACATACTTAGCCAATATTTATTAAGTCCACAAGGACTCTTTTCTTTTTAATATCATAATAAAATGAGCGGAGCCATACAGAGACAAGGAAGGGGGCGCCGAACGGGTGCTTTGCACAGGGCGAAAGTTTACCTGTGTCCGTCGTTTCCGGCGTACCGCTTCCTCCGTTCTCACCGTCCTATAGAGCATTATATGTCCTTCTATTATCTACAAATTGTCTCCATTGATCAAAATAGATTTTTAGAAAAAGTCCCTTCGAAAAAATTTCCTTGTCACCAAATTTATGTTCAATTAAACTTCAGTCTGACTTATTTTCCGTATTTCACCAAATTAATTTCCCTCGTATCGATTGAAAAAAACCGAGAAAAAATGTCACGTGTTACAAACGATACTATTTAGACCCCTAGAACATGTCAGGGCGAAACGCGCCGTGGGCCGCTGGGGTTAAGTTGCCAGAACATATCAGGATGAAACGCGCTGTGGGCCGCTGGGGTTAAGTTGCCAGAACATATCAGGATGAAACGCGCTGTGGGCCGCTGCGGTTAAGTTGCCAGAACATATCAGGATGAAACGCGCTGTGGGCCGCTGGGGTTCGTGCCCAAAACTGCAAAGCTGACTCATTTCTTCATTTAAGTTCCGCAACATGTTACACCGGATGCCGATTAAAAAAAAAAACACACCAAATTTCGTCATCAGAAACCGACACAGGGACTTTCACCCAATTTAAAATTTTCGGTGTCACAATGGCAACCTGGTTCATCAACCACATCTTCTACATAAGCTCTACCGCTTCGGCATCCTAATATAAAGAACCATGCAAGTTGTGGTGGATGGCGTCCGATCAAGCAAAGCCACTATAGACTCAGGAGTTCCTCAGGGTACAGTGCTGGGCCCCCTTCTCTTTCTCTGTCATATAAACGACCTCCCGGATACTGTAAAATCTCAAGTGAGGCTGTTTGCAGATGACTGTCTTGCTTACAGAGAGATACATGGCTACGATGACCACAACCACCTCCAAGCAGATTTGAAGTGCCTTATGAAATAGGCGGACAAATGGGGCATGAAATTTAACGAAACCAAATGCTACACAATGAGTATCTCAAGAAAAAAACCATCAACCCTTATGTACTCTCCAAACAAGACCATTCTCCAACAAGTATCAAATAATCCATACCTTGGAATTCTTCTCTCTAATAATCTAAAATGGTCACCCCATATAAACAAAATTTCAAAAAAAAAAGCGATCTCCACACTTGGTTTCATTCGAAGAAATCTGCGCCACTGCCCAACATCCTGCAAACGAAATGCCTATCTCGCACTCGTCCGTCCGCTACTAGAATATGATGCGATAATCTGGTACCCATACCTAAAGCAATACGTGGACAAAATGGAGCGAATACAACGCAGCGCGCTTCATCGCAAGTGACCAAATCCACCACTCCTGGCTACGTTCGTGACATCTTAAAAAGATTTGACGTCCCCTCCCTTAAAGACAGACGAGAAAAGCTCCGTCAAATATTTCTCTATAAAGTGGTCACGGGACTGGTGTCAGCTATTCCAGCTAACACGTATCTAACCCCGCAGAAGCCAGGTCGCTTAATAATCAGATCATTGCCGTCTCAAGGCATATGGGCTCACTAGGCACTGGCCCAGGGCCTTGCCTTACGCTTATAAGGGGCCTCACGCTTCTAGGAGACTCACTCTTTTAGAGGCATCATGCTTTACACATCGTTAATAAATATTAAAAGATTTTGGCAATTTAATTTGATTTACAATTCAGTGGATAGCACGTTTCCCCATTTTAACCCACGATATTATCGGCAGATTCTAAAATTAATATTATAAATGCGAATCTCAAGTTGGATACTTCTTAAAGGGGAATAATTCTCGTCAACACGTTTTACTTCTCCCAGATATGAATGGAAAAAAAAAGCACAAGGTTTTTTGTTTTGAAATCATGTTAGACTAAAATGTTAGTCTCAGGCGGTAATAACCCTTGCTACGCTACTGCTCCGTACTCAGTAGTGAAATTAGTGGAGAAAATCGTCTTAAGGCATGAGCATATGGCGCACTTGTCGAGGGTATCACGCCTCTAGACTCTAGGTGGTCTCATGTTCGAGGGGGCCTTCTGCCTCTCGAATAGTCTAGACTTTAAATCCATACGGCATCATACGGGCATCACACCCCTAGGCAGTCTAGGGAACCTCACGTCTCTAGGCCACCTCGCGCTTCTACTTCTAGGGGCTGCCGATATTATTGGTGGATATTGATATTTTGTCACTTTATTTTGCTTTAAAAAATGAAAGCGGCAAGACCGGTTTTTTTGTTTTTTTGTTTTTTTTTTGTTAAATAAGTTTTTTGACTCTCACATCATTTCAAAATCATTTTTTTTCTAGCTGCATGCAGACTGTAGGAAAAATTTTCTTTTGATAAATTATCAATTTGAAGAAAAAAAAATATATTAAAAATTATAGATATATTTTCCTGGCGGGGAGTTTTGGGAGGAGTAAACCAAATAGTCTTGCAAAAGGCACCAAAGGTTCATTATATAGTATTTAAAATGAAGAAAGTTATAGTCGTTAGAAATTTGGGAAAAACTAGTTAAGTTTGTAAATTTTAAGTTACTGCATTTGTTTGGTTATTCACGCTGACTTATTTTCCCTCAGATAAATCACATATTAATTTTAATTTATTTTTAAAATAGCCATGCCATACAAAATATATAGACTTTTTCTACAAAACAGTACTTTTTCTCATTTTTTTGTAACTATAAATTTGGGAAAACCTAGTTAAGTCAAAATTTTTAATAATTATACTAACATACTAATAGATTTTTTTGTCCTTAAAAAAAATTTAACAACTGTTTTGAATGGAATTTTTTATTTTTGATGAATTAGTTTAAACAATAATTAGTTTCAAATTAAATTATGAAACAGCACTACTATTTAGTTATAATTAAAAATAAAAGGAATTGTGTAACCCATTGCATGGTCAAGGGAACCTAAATTTTAACTAGCATCTTTGCTGTTGCTAGCCGGTTAAGTGTATAATGATGCAAAACTAAATTCATGTATGCGCCAAAATGCATCCCATCATTTTGAATTTATTAGAAATTTTCTGGGGAGGGGCTTACTGAGACCTCTCTCCAAACCTTACCCCAGCTTCGTTCGGCGCCCTCGATCTCTTCTCACTCCCCAATTGAAGAGACAGTACGACACATTTTAATCTAAAAAAGCTTTGGATGTGAGTAATTACAATGATTGTTCTGAAAGGACAAAGTTATGATTTTCCTGTAGTTTGGTAAACGTAGTTGGACTTAAAATATTTTAGAAACGAAACTAAGCTGAGGCTAAAAGCATACCCTCAGGGGACTCTACTACCAGAATGAATTTATGGTTATGTATGGCGTGCTGAATACTCAGCTATGAGACAACCAGTGACGTAACGTCTAAGCATCAGATGCAGGGGGTCTGCATTTAAGTGGCGCATGGGTATGTTCTGAAGCCCAGTCCTACATAAACTAAATACATTTTTTTGTTGGTAGAAAAGGTGCAGTACTCTCACTTTGATCAATGGGGTGTGGGGAGCAGAAATTTGGGGCGTTGAAGCCACAGCAAAAGTGGGGGGAAAGGGCCTGTTGAGGGGATTCAGTGAGCCTTTTAAATGCATTCCATCTGTTGATTCCTGAGACGTCTTTTTAATATGGTATCACCAACAGACAGTACTATTATAGCTAGTCTGTGATTTTTACAGTCCTATTTGGCATACAAATGGATTATCTTAGGGTTACAAAGAAGCACTGAATTTTGGTATTGACTCGGGGGTGGGGGGGTTGTTTTATTTTGATTCCTGCTTAGTTTCACCCCGGGTCCAACTATATGAGACATATATTTATTAACCATAATGCATTAACATGTAGATATCAGCCTGCATGGATATAATGTACTCGTTGCAGTTATATGTGGTTGCTGTGATTTTTTTATATTTCAAAATATTTTTGTTTTTGTTCATCAACTATATGGCCCATAAGTTGAAACATCAATCTTAATTATTTCAGTGCAAGTTTTCCTATGGTGGTAATTGAAGTTGTTCCATAAGAAATTCTTCTACGAAGTGTTGCCAAAATGAAGAAGCCCAAGTCCCATTTGGCAATGGGTGTTCTGTTTCAGTTCCAGAAACTTTGGCCTCTGCTCCCATTGGTGACCCTGATGTTTCTGTCTCCAATCATGGCCCTTATTGGTCAAGTGGTGGCAGATAGTTGTGTAATCAACACTCAAAGTATGACAAAAACAGAAATAGTTAACAGTTTAAGAATTTGACATTGTTATGTTGAGAAATTCTAACACACTTAGAAATTACATTATCAAGTATTGGCATTTATTTACAAAATGGTGTTAAATATAACTGAAACAAATCTAAAATAAGGATAAGCTTGACTTAAAAATGAGAAAACTTAAATTTTATTTTTAGTTTATTTAGGCTGGGGACAAAGTCCTTGGTGAGTGTTTGAAACATTTCTCATGGGTTCATTTCAAAAATGATTTTTTTTCCCCATTGACATAGCTAATTAAAAATTTTCATCACATTATTCCTTGGTATTTTTTAATTTAAAATATTTGTATTTTACAGACCAATATCCTAAACAAGCACATTACTTCTTCTACAAAGATCAAGACCTACCAATTATCCTTGAAGACAGTAATAGAATTTCTCATCGCATCACAAACATGATACTGAAAATTATCCTTCAGGTATTTGTCTGCGGGATTATATATAAAATTGTATGAAAAATAACACGGTTGATCTATCTGTAGTCTGTAAATATTTTACTACATAAAAGAGTTAAATTAGCTTTGGTTACTATTCAATCAAATTAACAATTTAATAGCAATATCTTATGTCATGGGTGATATATGAAATTTATATTTTAAAAATTAACTATTTTCAAATTTATTACCTAATTTTATTTTTAAAAAATGTAAAAATTTGAAATTAATTTATTATTTTAAACTTTCAGACTGTTGCAGGTTATCAGAATATTAAGATAGAGCACTGCTATTTTTATGATAATCATAACATCACAATATTGTTGGACAGAATATCAGGGAATATGGCATCAAAGTAAGATAATGTAGTAGTAGTACATTAATATGTTTGTAACACATACTGGTACATAATTGGTAAGAGGCAAATTACAGATTAAATTAAAATTTAAATCTGATAGAACTAGACTAATGGAACATTAAGGCTTCAATAATAAGCTTTGAAAAGAAACTTATCATTCATTGAAATCAATCTAATTTATGACAACATTGTCCAAAATCTTACAGAGTGACATGGTTTTGGAACTTTAAACAAAGTAAGAGTTTGTGTAGCAAAAATCAATCTCATTTTGAATCGTCATTGCTAATGACATTAGTTGAACTATTAACATGATTTGAAAATTATTGTTGAACTGCGTATGTTACTTAATTATTTAAGTTCAGAATTTTGGTGTAATGGGAATGACAATTTTCAGCTTTTTTCATCAATATTTTGTTAAATCACATTTATGAACCTTTATTTTTTATTATTATTATATTAATGCATTGCATGCCCATTTGTACAGTTAAATGTTGATAACTCATTGTAGTGTATGTAAATTCAAAATGGATGTTTGTTTAAAAAAACCATTTGATTAAAGCATGAGTATATAATGTTTATATTTATCAGACACTGCCAACCACCCACAGTAAACTATGATATTATCCCAAATACTATGGTCAATCTTGAGGCTTGGATGGTCGCAGGCTTTGATAAGGGACCATGGCTGGACACTCACCTGTTAGTGGATGCTGGACCATTAGGTCCACAGGGAAGGTATGAAAATTGTTATACTTTTCACTATATTCCAAGTGTTAAACGTTGTTAATATCTATAGAAAAATGTATGAAGTCAAAACCAAAATTTAAATATATATTGTCCATCATACAAAGTGATGTTAAAAAAAGAACCTAAGTTATGGTAGGATCTTGTAAATAACATCACGGAGAAATCTCAAACATTGAAGAGATGTTCATCCTACTTAACAGATGTTAAGGCCCTGTTGCACTTAGACTCTAACCACTAAAAACATGAGAAAAATCAGATCTCACTTTCTAAATATTCTAAATTTCCACAATTAATCTGATTAATCTACCAATATATTTTAGAAATATAATAACTATTATTATTTTTATTATCATCACAGAATGGGCTGGTTTATTCCTACAGCAGTTGTTGATGAAGTGTGGAGAAATGATTCCAAGATCATCGACCACTGGATATCATTCAGTGTGCCTAAACTTGCAGGAATGTTCTCATGGTGGGGTAAGAAGGAACTGGAACTGCTTAAACCTGATTATAGAGTCGACGCTTTTAGAAACCCCAGGTGTCAAGAGTTCAAAGGAAAGAGACCAAAGTGTGCGACGCTCTTCGCTTCCAATAAAGGTGAGTTATAATTGTCAAACAACAAAATCACTAGCTTTGGTGTCTATTAGGAACTTAGGAAAACTACACCACAAAAATAAGTTGAATTTCATCAAAATTAAGGTCATGCTAAAAGTTTCTATTTAAATAACATTGTTTTCAAACCAAGGTTTCTGGATACGTGTAATTTGAAACATTCTCATTCATTGAAACAATGCCTTTTTATCTCTATCATTACCTGTTTTAAATAAAATGTTTTAAAGTGTTATGGTAAAGATTGCAATGATTGATAATTTTTGTATTTTTAAATGCATTAAAATGAAATATACTTATTAATTATCATGTTTAATTTAATAAATAGATTGATTTGATTGTTATTCATGTTACTAATGATAACATTTTATGTACTTGAAATGTACATTTAGGTGTTGATGCAGGTATCCTTGAGTCACAGATACTAGCTCTGAATATGTCTGTAGACATAGTGTGGCTGGAAGACAAACTGCACTCATTCATCAATGAACAAGTTCAAGTCAATCACAGAGTTCTTTTTTTTAGCTCACAACCTGATACACTGACAGCCTCTGGAAAGTTTACACGTGTCAATTTCCCAGAGACTCATTCATCTCACAAAAATGTAATTTTTAGTCATTTTATTATTTAGCACCAAAGAAAAAAATTATTAAAAAAATTATTTTAAAAGAATTTATGACTTTTGAACTTGTTTTTATAATAAATATAATAGACAAAGATTATAAAGTATACAGCTTTGTTAGCTGCCCTGTAACATGTTTTGCTGTTGTTTTATTTTCCAAGGGTTTTCTTCCTTGCCTATTATTTTATTGTTTGAAAGGCTGTGTCTGTTCCAACTAGAACTTTTCTGATAAGCTTGGAGTCAAACCCTAGGCCACTCGAATGGTCGTCCTGTGTCTCACTGACTCATCCATAAAAAAAAAATATTTGACAAAAAGAATTCATGTGGGCTATTTTCATTGTGTCTACTTTGCTGCAAAAACACCTCTGACTTTTAAAACGTATAAAGATTTAAGATAAATTCATTATTTATCCTTCTTTCATTTCCTGCTTATTTATAATGAACCATTAAAACCGTTTTCAGGATCCTAGGGACTGTGACTTCCCAGTTAATCAGCTGACCAAGGTCCTCTGGGGGCCTCTGAAAACTGGAGCACCTGAGGCTTATCATATTATCTCTAAAATGAGTTTCTCAGACATTGAGTATGATCAGCTGATTGCCCTGTACCCTGATAACTCAGTCAACGAAATTGCCTGTTGGTGGGTGCAGAATAATATGGCACAGTGGGATAAATGGCTACCAAACAGTCTCAGAGAGAAACCCAAAATATACCTTGGGGGTCTCTTTCCTCTAAGTGGCAGAATGTGGTCTCAGCCTGGGCTTGTGGCAGGTAGGTGGACTTAAGGTGCACTTTTAACATTTGTTATAAATTTAAAACTTCTCAGTGTTTTAATTATAATACAAATAACTGCATGTTAAATATTTTAAAATTAAATTGCAGCTTTTTAAAGAAACACTAAGGGGCTTTTCCAAATTAAAATAATAGATTTAAAAGAGGAGTAAGCTATGACTTAAGAAACTTATGAATTGTCCGTGCTACAAAAAAGTGTGTCAAATTTTTATTTGTAATGGTACTGGTACTCCCTTTTTTTTTTTTAGTTGCATAAGCCATAGTGTTGTTTCATCTATTTTTAAGGCTCTTTTCAATCTACTTCCCATGTCCTACAAATATGGAAATTGCCAGACAACTTTGTATTGTTGAGCACTTCGTTTTATTGATTTTGACACATATCAGTCACATACAACTATCTGAAATACTTACACTTAAAACTAGCTACTGAATAGTATTGCATATTATGCACCACTAGATGTTAGATCTCATGCGCTGCAAAAGTAGTCCTCAAAGATGTCCAAGGAATTCCAGAGGGAAAGTGATCTGGAAAATTCAAAATCAAAGATGGTTTTAATTGCACAAATCAAAATGGGATTTTTGTAAAAAATGCTGAAAATCATACTGTTGGAGTCAGGTCGTCGTCATGGAGAAAATCTGTACAACATCAATCAACAAGCCCTTTGTGCCATTTCTAAACATTTCACCAGTGCTAACCATAATGGAATAATGCACATTGCAATTACTGGTGTACTGTATGCAAGTAATACCCCTGAAAGATTTTCATATATTGTTTTATTTACACAAATTGTTTGTGTCTCATTAATCTACTTAAAATCTTTATTACAGTTCAATCCTCTTATAACCAGATTAATCTTGACTAAGTGACTTTATTAAGTGATTGTTTTAATGATTTCAAGGACATAAATTTGTATAAACCTAAATTACATTCCTTCAATTAACAGTTTAAAAAATTTTTCAGCTCTCATTTTAATGTTTTATTTTGAAATTTGAGTTTCCAATCTGGTTACCTTACATTTTTTGTTACTCTCCAACTGTAGGTGCTAAACTGGCTGTTGATTTAGTTAATAAAGACCCAGAAACTCTTCCAAACCATACTTTGATGCTGCTGGAGTATGACACCAAGTGTGAAGATGATGTGGCCATGAGTCAGTTTATCTCTCTAGCTCAGCAAAGAAATCCCCCAATAGCTGGGATATTAGGTAGAAATGGGAATCTGTTTTTTGTCAATGTAAATATACCCACCTTACCTAGTTGAACCCCTGATAACTAGATAAATTATTTGTTATTGATGTTTATTGAACATTTGTTTCCCTAAAATTTCTGGTAATAAATCTCTGTTTAGTTTAATATATTTGTATTGTTCATTTAGGCACTGGATGTTCTGATCCTGCTGAGAGGATAGCTGCCCTCTCCAAACATTTTAACATTATGATGGTCAGTTATGGAGCTGAGGCTCAGGTGCTGTCGGATCGGGAGAAGTACCCATACTTCTTTAGGACTGTCCCTCCGGTCCAGCTTTACACGTATGCAATCTTATTTTCTATTGATAATTTTCTTCACAGTATTGAAAGCAACATATTGGAAATACACAAATATTGGTTTATTTTGTATGTTTAAGCCTTATTTTAGAATAGGACTTTTTGGAAAGTACATAATGAAAACTTCATCAATGCATCTCCAAGTTTAAAGAATGTTTCCTTCAAACCATCAATTGAATGACTTTCCAGCTTTTACTACCGGTAATGAAAATAGTGATTTTTTGGGTAAAAATAAACTTGCAATTTAATCTTTGTTTTGTTCTACCATTATTAATCTGAAGCAGTGCATATTTGTGTAAAATGACAAATGCATTTTCTGTTAAATGATGAGCAAGGGCCAGTGTTAACATTTTTACCTTTCAACAGGCAAGTATTTCCCAACTTGTTTAGAGAGTTGGGATGGAGAACTGTAGGGGCCCTGGCTGAAGGTGGGCAGGAATTTCCAGAGTATCAAATGGCCCTTCAGGAGAGGCTCAAACTCCATGGTATTTCCCTGATTGTTAGACGGAAATCTCTGAATGGCACTCATTCTCCAGATGTATCTCAGGTATTTTAACTTTGAAGATGGGAGTTTTAAAATTTAAAATCCCACTTCCAAAAAGGTTTTCCAATCTCTTACTTAGAAGCATTGGGGTCCTTCAAGAAATTTCAGTTCAATTTACAAAGTTTTAATTTTCTATTACCCTATTATATTAAGTTAAGTAAAATTAGAAAATTTAACACTCACATAATTCAGTCTTGTAAGATTAATATCATGCAATAAAAATTCAAAGCAGGTGACACACATTTTAAAACAGTAAATATTTTAATTGCTAAGAACATTATTTGAAGAAAAAAAAATCAGCTGATTTAATATTATGTTTCCACATCAACATTAATAAAGGGTTATAGAATGCTTAGAAATAGTTAACAGTATATGATTTAATTTTAAAAAACAACAAAGAAGCAAGTTTAATTACGGTACTAAAATTTATTTATATTTCTTACATTTGGTTATAAATGTAATGATTCTTTTTTTTTCTGTTGTTTTCTCAAAATAAGATTTTGAAAGAATTTAAAGCTCAGAATGTGAGAGTTATAATAGCTGATGTCTTCAGTCATGTAGCTCGAGAAATTATGTGTGAAGCTTACAAACAGGTGACCATATGATTCTGTTTTAGGAACTGGCTTTAATTTAGACAATTTTAAAAATTATTGACTAAATTGCATTACGGGTGATTAAAATTAAATAGATTTAACTTATCAGATTTTTTTTTTTAAATGAATGAAAATAAAAGTTATAAAATTGTTTCACATTAAGGAATCCAGTATGTTAATATTTTTAAAATTCCTTTGTATTGTATTGATCAGCTATGCTAATTTGTACAATTATCTTGAGTATTGAAAGACAATAAAAGCTCGAAATTACTATCATATGAAATGACCAGTAATGAGCGTTTCTGCCGCCATATGAGCCTATGACCTAATGTAAATACTGAACTCTAACCATCAGAAAATGACAGCTTTTGAAGGGTATGTGTGGTTCCTGCCCTCATGGTATCCGAAAGACTGGCAAAATGTTGACTACTATAATAGTGAACCAAACACACATGAAGCCTACCCCCACAGAGAGAATGTTCCATGTACCACAGCAGAGGTTGAGCATGGGGCTGAAGGACATTTTGTCTTGTCTAAATCATTTACTGCACCGCTGGATACTTGGGTCGTGGGAAACATTACTGTCAGTGAATTTAAAGCATTATATGCAAAAAGATTAGGAACGGTAAGTGATAAATTTCTATGAGCTATCTGAATCACTGAAAATAAGCTTCAAATGTCCATAAATGGATTTCATTAAGAGTCATTACTTAAACAGACTATTTTATTTGCATTATTCAGTAAATGTTTTCCTAATAATTTATTATTATAGATATTTACAATTTACAGTAAAATTAAAAGATATCAAAAGCATTAGTATCTCGCACACCCACTAACAAAACACTGGACATTTTAAAATTTCCTCCCTCTTGGTCCCAGTTTGGCTATGTAATAAAAAAAAAACGAGTGCATCAAAGTTTTAACAAAACAATGTTGTTTTTCCAACCAGTTTGTTGAGGAGAGCAACTTTGCGAGCTTCGCCTATGATGCTGTGTGGGTCTATGCCAAAGGTCTCCATGCATTATTAAAACAGAACCATGGGGCTCTGGAGACAATTCATTCTGTAAAAACAGCAAGGTAAAATGGTTTACCTGGCTTGACGTAACAGAAAGGCTCAAGGACAAGAGAGAAAAAAAAATGTCTCCCTTTTCAGGCAGTGACTAATATTTCAAGTGGCAACCTTGTATTTTTTATAATAGCATAATGATGGATTTTTCTTGTGACAAACATTGTTGATCATAGGAGCAAAAGAAACCAGGAGAGAGATTCTATAAATAGTAAATGTGAATAAATTATTTACATGAATATATATACAAATCCCTCTGAATACACAAGACTGGCACTGATGCTCTGAGTTAAATTTTATAATTATCAATAAACTTAACTTTGATGTATGTATGTTTGATAAGATTGCTTGATAGTCTTTAATTACTTCCCTAAAAAATTTAGTTCAGACCATTCTTTATTTCTTTTATTTAAATTTTGATGCACTAATCAAACCAAACATTTACATAATTTCCAGAGCATTTCGATCAGCCATTGCCAATCTTAGCTTCAGTGGAGTGTCGGGATGGATTAAATTTGATGGCAGTGACCGTAATGCTGATCTGATTATTCTTCAAGAGTTTTCTAATGATACACGTGTGGTGGGACATTACTCACCAATCAAAGAGCCTAAAGGGGAGCCCATCCTAAAGATCTACACAAGTCTGATTCGTTGGTTGTCTCCTTTGTCACCAGTTAATGATAAACAAGAAAATTGTAAGCAGTTTTCATTAGTATTGCTAACCTTAAAGGGTTAACCATAACATATAACCATAACAAAAACCGGAATGTTGATGTTTAAGTGTCTATTTATAAATTTGCCAGAGGTTGTCCACTGTTACGGCGGGCAATGAGCCTATTGGAATGGATTTGTAAGCAGGCTTGCAAAATCAAAAAATGCAATTTTTACAATTATTCTAAATCTCCACATTTTTTAAGTACAAGCAAATTTTTAAATAGCTTACAAAAGTTAAAAATGTAAAATATCCATACGACATTGTTTTTATGACTATGTCTATATGATTCGATGCGTTTGACCCAGAGGCTTAAGCTAATTTTTTTCATTTAATTTTTAAAAAGTATTCTCTCCAGTGTTAAAAGGTTAAAGCAAGCCAAAAGAAATACACAATTTTTAGATATTCTGTTTTGTTGAACATTAAAAATAAAATTTGTGCTATGTCTCATTTTTTTATGGATATCCCAAAGTTATTATAGACTTATACAGATAAGTCATTTAAGATCGATTGTTATTCTAATAAGGCAGCTATACTTTAATAACCTTGGAACTGATGGCCTCTGATAGGGACAGCTGGAGATCCTTTGAAAAAATATTCCCGCAATTAAATGGGAAGAACTGTAGACAAAGTAATCAGGCTGCTGACTGCCCACAAGTGGATGATCGTTTTAAGTACCCCATAAGCTTGAGTCTGTGATCCAGAATTAAGCTTCATAGCCAACTCCATGCTTGCGACCTTAGAGTGTTAAGTTAAAGCCTGCATTGCATGTATATATATATTATATATAATAATATAACTAAATATATTTGAGTGTGACTAAAATAGTATTTTCATGAGACTGTCTACTCCCTCAGCCATGGAGGAATGTTTATTTGAGAGTTTCCGTGCACAGCTTGGGGTCACCTGTACAATCGCCAACGTCATCGTCACAGTCTTTGTTTTCTTTGGATTTGTCATTATTGCGATCATCATTCCAATTGTAATGAAATACAGGTAAGGAAAAGCTGTTAAAAAGGACAACTAAGCATCTATTTTAGCCTTGAAGTAATTTTTTTTTATTACGGGTAAAAAACACTCCGTAATTTAAATAACTTGTGGGCGCTTAAAACAGAAAGAGTTTTTAAAATAAATTAACCCCGAAAAACATATTTTTTTTTTTTAATAAATCCTTTGTAAAATGTAATATTGAGCAATGGGTGAGGCTGAAAATTTGACAAAACATGCGTACAAGTAACGCAATTTATAAGAATCCCATTTAGTGCCCCAATCTCATTTAGTATTTAGCTCAGCTATCAGGAATTTTCCTTCATGTTCCCCTTGAAAAACAGGAAAAAATTATTTTTAGGGGTTGGGGCTGGAAATAAGATAGAATGTGTTGTTGTTGGCAACAAGTCTATGTGCCAAGTTTCAGCTCAGTAAATTGACAGGAAGTGGGTCAATTAGCTGTCTGAAGATTTTGCCTGCCAGCAACAAATGAAGGCGAAGTTAATATAAAGGAATTAAGACATGGAAAATTGTCAGGGTTCTTAAAAAGAATGTCACTAAATGGGCTCAAGTTTCTGTATTATAGAGGATCAGTTGAGATAGATACCGGTATAGTAAGACACAGCATATGTAAACCTGTAAAAATTGACGTAAATTAAATTTAGCAACTTTAAAATTTAAACAAAATTAATGACACATATACTTATCTGACCCCTTCATTGTATTGTTTAAAAAAAAAATTTGAAGTCCTGAAATGTGTATTTCATAGAAATTAATAGTTCCTTGAACCAAATAATGACATAATGAAAACATGTTTATTAGAAACGTTTAATTCACTGACCAATATCTAACTTACCATATTATTTTTTCTTAAAGAGAGATAGGTTTATCAATTTTAAAAAAAACAACATCTAATGAGTGGGGGATATTTCCTTATTTATTGGATAGATTATTATTTGATATTAAGTCATTCTTTTTAAAACTGTTATTTGTGAATAGTTGCTGAAGGAACTATTATTAACATCTAATTTTAGGTGTGATGCAAGGATGAAAAAATTCAAGGCTACTCATGAGAGAATCAAAGAGCTTGGTCTCTTTAAGGAGGAATTCTCTCCCATTTTGACTGTGGATGACTGGGAAATACCTCGCAAAGATGTTGTGCTCAACAGAGTCCTCGGCGAAGGAGCATTTGGTTAGTATCCAACTCATTTGTCATTTGTTTCCTTCGCTTTTAGATCTCACAAGACTTAAATAACTTTATCAGACATGAGATCAAATGGTCATGTTTTAAATGATCTGCACCCATAGTCTTAAATATGAAATCAGATAAAGCTAGAGAATAATCTTTTCATTTTCGGAACTGTTGTTCAGATATCTGTGATATAATTTTTTATAATTATGCCAGATGGGTCTTGGACTCTTAGTGTTGCCGTTGAATTTCACCATTTTGTAAAATATTTTATAAATATAAATTTCCCTCTAGTCCCTCCATTTAGTTATATCTTTACAAAAAAAAACATGTCTAGGATTGACAGATTTCTTGACTCAACTATATTGTTGCCTGGAGCAAGCACTTTATTTGACATATTATCTGTTAACCAGGCACTGTGATGGGAGGTGAGATGTACAAAGAGAAAGAGGGGTGGGTGGCTGTCGCTGTAAAGACTTTAAAACTTGATCACAAAGTTGAGGAAAAGGTCAGTCTAAAAGTTCTTCTAGGTCAGTCTAAAAGTTCTTCTTTCACTGTTTCATGTTGTTAAGCTCAAATATCTATACAAAAAAAAAACCATTTGACGTTCAAATCATGTTTGTAATCAAATTCAGTAAGAAGATAGTGAGATGGTCGGAAACTTATCTATCTTTAGGATAAATGGAATAATTTGGAAATTTTAATAAAATATATATTTGTGCTTTTTTTAATAGCTGGACTTTTTCCGAGAAGTTGACATGATGAAAAGTTTCAAACATGAGAACATTGTTCAACTCTGGGGTGTATGCACACGCAAGGAGCCCATGTATGCTGTCATGGAATTTCTACTTCATGGTGAGCTATTAGACCATCATACACAATATCAAATTTAACATATTTTAACTTTCTACTAAGAGATTGGCATGTAAAGCACAAATTTGTTGAATTTATTGAAGTTAATAGTGACTGGAAAAAAAAATGCTCTGGAGGCCCAATAGATCTCTAATACAACAATATTGGTCACACTATCAGAAAGAAACAAATATTTTTAATAAAGTGATCACTTGAAACCCTAGCAGTATAGATCTCTTCTATGGGGATCAAGAGGAGGGAGAAAGTGTTTATATAAACCCCCCATCCCCCTTTTAAAATCTCAATGATACATTTAATCTTTATTCCTGCACTGTGATTTTCATTGAAAAAAGAGATTGGATTTATTCCCTACCCCATAAACATTTTTGTGTGCATCCCCATGGTCTCTCAACTGCTTTCAGCAAGGGAAAGAAAATGAAATGAAATACCACAAAAAAATTCAAACAGGACTTCTGTGAATAATTTGTAAAAACTTCTTCCTCAGGTGATTTAAAAACGTACCTACTGTCTCGTAGAAATTTGGTTGGCCAGGGTGTGAAAGAAGCTGAAGATGTCAAGGCTGAAAACTTAACTCAAATGGCTGTGGATGTTGCTAAAGGGCTGGACTTTCTTCATTCTCTCAAATATGTACACAGGTAATTAAATGTTGACAAATGTACCCAGGTAATACTGTCCAATTTAACAGGCACACACATAGAACAAGATACATTTTACTTTTTAGTTTATTTTTCTAAGGAATAAGACGTGGATATAGTGAGCCATTGTTAAGGAGATGAAGATGATTAACTAATTATATGCATCATTTTGCATGTTCCACAAAAACTAAAATGGCCAATACAATTTCTTGTTTTACTTAAATTTAGACATTTTTAGAGCAACATTTGAAATTAAAAACATCTGTTTAAATACCTATTTAAAATAAAAAAAATTTGGACCAATTTTCAGAGATATTGCATGTCGCAACTGCTTAGTTCACGCCAATAAAACAGTCAAGATTAGTGACTTTGGGATGACAAGACATATCTCAAGTACCGACTATTACCGCTTCAGCCGTAAAGGTATTCATTTCACCTTTAAAACTTTTTTTTTTATTGTACAACTACTACACTATCGTCTTGATATGTATGTCAATGGAATTATTTTAAAACGGGTTTAGTATGTATGCCTTTTTTTTTTTATAAAACAATGAATGCAATAATGAATACAGCATACTTTTATTTACTAGCAGTAATGAAACTCCTGCATCGTGAATGTGTACTTGCGTTAGTCAACAGTGTATAATTCCAGCTACCACATTATGTGAAAAGGATTATTTGTTGAGCAGTTGTTTTTTTTATATTGGTATCTCCACAAAGAAAAAAAGGATTAAAAGTTAAGCAATATTTTTACCCATAAGTTAGTAAACGTAAAGGGGGCAGCTTTTTTGTGTAAAAAAATGAAAGAATAATTCAGAGAGAAAGGCACCAAGTAATTCTGTTCTAGAAATAATATTCTTTGTTAATTGTTAACGGAAAGGAAAGTCTGATTGACTTACTTCAGAGAACCACTCATTCCTATAAAATCTGGAATCTTGTACACCATAGCCAGAAACTTTCACAATACATCATCCTGGCTGGGCCAAGCATTGTCCAACCTGTATCAGGTACAAAAATGCACATTGTAGACTTCATAGGGGCGAGCGCATCACCTTCTGAAGAAAAAGTTCAGGATTCTCATTTTCAAAAACTTACGGGTCAACAATATAGATCACAGTACACTCCTTTTTTGTAACAATAGACGGTATAACTGTGATACTTGCTGCTGTTGAATAAGAATCTCTCTTGGAATTGCTCTGGCACCTCTTTCAAAACATTTCCCACCTTCACAATCACTTACATATGAGCAAAAATGATGGTCAACTATAAATATTTTTTACTTTGTTGAGAGACCCCATTGCAGCGAGAACTGCAGAACATAAAATCTTTTTCACATCTGGGAACACATGGCAGCTAGAGCTATGTCCTATTGACAGATGCACTTACTCAAGGTGTGGATGTTTCAGTACTGTTACTTTTTGCTCAGTGTATTGGGGTCTGTAAGTAATATATTTTAAGAACAGAAATAAATATTAAGAAGGATAAGTAAGTTATATTTATATAATTTTTTTTTAGCTGATGATGGGAATATTTATTTTTATTTACAGTATTTCATTTTATTGTTGTGGTGGGAGAGATTTCTTGAAATGCATTGTTTAATATATTTAAATTCTTGGAATATCCTGGGTACATGCTTGTTAACCACTTGGATTACACATTTTGAACTGTTCATTTAAAAAACTAATCCTATAAATATTAATACTATAATTATAAACATAGGAATATTTCATTTTTCCAGCCATGTTGCCCGTGAGGTGGACAGCACCTGAAGCACTCAAAGATGGCATTTATTCAGCAAAATCAGACATTTGGTCCTTTGGGGTATTGGTTTTTGAAATTGTCACTTTTGGTAGTTTCCCTTATCAGGGACTCTCGAATAAAGAGGTTTTGGACTATGTGGGCAAAGGTAACCTACTCATGCTTCCTGAAAAATGCCCAGCTGAATTGTAAGTAAAAGCCATTTGTAGATTTTCATTGACTCGATTTAACTAGAAATTAAACAAGAAATAACAACCAGAACCAGATCAAGAACCTGTGTAGAAATAGTAGAATACATTCTTCAGAACAAGTATATTTTTATTACCTTGTTTATTTATTCTCTGTATTCTTTACACTTTGATGTTTTGTATCAAATTAAAGTTGACTAAACCTCTTGACTTTTAAACTTAATTCTTCTAATTCATTATTACTATCCCTAAAAATAACTTGTGATGAGAGTTTTTAAGTAGAATATAAACATAATATTTTCTATTAACCCACTAGTTCAATTCAAATTCTTCAGTGTAAGCTGTGTTCTCTCCCAATAATTTTGGTCAGCAAAATTATCAACTTCTACTACTTCTAGTACTAATTTACAATCTAATTGAGAGCCAGCTGCAATAATACAAGCATCAGCATAAGTTAAATAGATTCTACATGGTTCAAAATTTTTTGTTACTAAAGTCATGTGACTAAAATAAAATAAGTAATTTCTTATCAGTTTTTATGTGTTCAACACAACTATAACAATCAAATAGTGAAAGTGGCTCTAGTCTTTTTGTGTACTCTATAAACCAATCAATGTTTAAATTAAAAAAGAGCAGAAAATAAATCTCTGTTGATCTACCGGTACTTCTTAGATTTCTTCACCTGTCTCTCGTACAGCTGTTTGGCAGCATCTCTGTCTCTGGTATCTTTGTTCCATTGCTGTGACATCTTGATGAAAATGTTCGCCATATTCTTCACTAATCATACACCAGTTTTCAGGGAAGCAATGCAGATGGGAATGAATGAAGTGGATCTTAAGGGACACATTGCAGCCAAGTTTCTGATACTGCATTAGCATATCTTCTACGTCTTGTTACTTGTAGTTTTCTTCCCTAACATTCCTGAGAAAGTTTGTAAGACACTAGGTGAAAAGAATTCCTTGCTTGTTTCGAATTACCATGCAACAATTTGTGGAACCAGCTCTCAAATCTGAGGACCCACAAAACCTCTTTGCTTTGCTGAGTTGAGGAATTTTTCATGCAGGTAATCGGAAAGCTGACCAAGTCTGGTCTATGGCTTTCATGAAGGGGTGGTAGCAGGATTTGTGAGCCTTGACCAGAGCTGAGTGCTGGATATTCTTCTCTCCAACTGCTTCATTTATTATGCGAGTCCATTCTTTCCTCAAGTAGTGCATTTCCCTTGCTCGGCTATCCTACTCACATAAATACAAGTATTTGTATAATTTTGTATATCCCTGCCGCAGTCCCATTAAAAGGTCAACTACCTTCAAATCACCAGAGGTGCCAGCTGAACTTGTTATACTCAATGGAATTCAGTAGCTGCTTTAAGTTATGTCATATCTCTTTCATATGGACAGCATACGCTACTGGAATAGATGGAAGACAAAATGTACAAAAGCACAGCCTTAACACTGTGGCCCACTCATGAGGCCTCAATATCGGAAAATACTAGATTACTTTCCTTTTTGAAGAAAGGCTCCAACTCCTTGTGGCGCTTTTGCTATAAAGTAATTGTGACATCTTCTTCTAAAAGATTCCATTGTTGGAGTCTCGAGCCTCGCAATTCTTCGTAGCAAATCATAAACCAGGTTATTTAGTTCTTCCTGAGTTAATCTGTGTGGGATTGATGATGCACCACAGTGAAAATCTGGATCACTGCATGCTGATAGAATACTGCATGCTGCTGGAAAAAGGAGGAACCAAGCAGAAGTAACAGTCAATTATGTGGTTGCTTTGTTTCTCTCCACACCATAGGGACTGCAAACAGCGTTGATGCTCTTTGGCTATTCAACCACTATAAAAAGCTGTGCTGTACACGTAGCACAGTACCGGGTATATATGTATATCTTCAAAACGAGAGCCAATAAAAAAATGTTCATGCTTATATTCATGTTCAGCACACCAAGATACTACAGACTTTTTAAGTCAGTACCGGTAATGATTTCAATGTTGACCAGTGCAGTCCCACTAAATGAGCATAAAGAGTCATAAGGCATTTTTTGTGTGACTGGTTTGAAATTTGGGAGGGGGCTGAAGAGCATATAAGGCAGGAGTGGGTTTAAATGGCTTAATGAGAAATTAATGGACTTTTCCACCTGATCTCTGGCATATGCAAATACCAAAATGTTTGATTTTAAGAATAGGAGAAATGTTTTAAAGATAAAAAAACGATGTCTCTGTTTTGTAATTTTGAATGTTTATCAAAATGACTTGCACTAAAAATGATGTGTAACAATGGTATTCATGCTGTTCACAGGAAATCATTTATTCGATGGTGCTTGTCCTATGATCCAGGATACAGACCAGACCTTCTCGACATTCTCAGTTTCCTCAACTTTAGCCCAGCCTTTCTCACCCCTTGCCTGGATGCACCCACCACAAGCATTGTTCATGAAGACACTGACTCCTTAGAAATGCCAGCCAGCCAAGGGGTTTCAAGTCATCTCTTGGCCTCATCTGTCCCCCAGTCATCCACAAACACTGACCACCAAGCATGGCAGGAGAAGCTCAAAGACAAAAAGAAAACATTTTCGGTGCCTGGTCTGTCTTCGTTGGGAAAATCTGGGAAATCAACTGTGTCCACTCGGTCGCCTGTCTCATCTTCAAGATCTTCATCTGTGTGTTCAGGAATGCTGCAAAGCAGTAGCATATGTGGGCTGAACACCTGCAGTATTGCAAATAGTGTATCAGCAAATGAGGATGAGAGAGACGATTGTGCTGGAAGTGAGACCCTCAATTATAATTATATAAAAACTGAAATGTTGCGACATTCTTTGAGATCTCATCATAAAGATGGGGCTGCTGATGTTGACATTGAAACCAGTAAAATTGAGCGCAGAAAATCTAGTGTTTCTGACCACAGGCGATTTTCTCTCAATGCTGGTAGTGATAAAGGAGACATTAGCAGTGGCTACATTAGTCAGAACTCTAAAGGAGAGTCTAAACAAATATGTCAGACTGTGACCTCTTTGTGATGCTGTCGTTTTCAAACTGTTAACTTATAATACAGCCATTGAAAATCTTTCTAGAAAAGTGGTTTTTTTTTATGCTTGTGAAAATTTTCCAAATATCAACTTCATTAAGGATTTACATGTTCTTGTAAGAGGAGATTACAATTTTTCATGGAGATACTTCACTTGTCTTCCAAATTCACTATTAAATTATATAATTTTTCCATTTTTAGAAATTTCTTTATTTTCTAACTCAACTGTTTTGATGAAACTGAAACATTTTATCTCTTTAACATCTAAACCAGTGTTTCCCATCCTTTTTGGTGCATGCCCCACCTAAGCTTTTCTAAAATTTGTATGCCCCCTATGTAGTATACACCTAATTTCAAAATTTAAATTGACTAAAATTGCAAACACCCCCCCCCCCCCCCCCATCTTTTTCATCTTAACCAGTGTTTCCCATCCTTTTTTGTGCATGCCCCACCTAAGCTTTTCTAAAATTTGTATTCCCCCTATTTAGTATACACCTAATTTCAAAATTTAAATTGACTAAAATTGCAAACACCCCCCCCCCCCCCATATTGGGAAACACTGATCTAAACTCTTTATTTTATTTTCTGTGTGCTTTGTGCATCCACTAATAAAATTGGTACATTTTTTCAAGTGCTTTGCAAAATTTAAGTCTTTTTTTTTGGTCATTTTTAAGATTGAATTATTTTTTAAAAATTCACTTTTAATGTTGGGGGAAGAAAATAAGAGTAATTTAGCTGTGTCTGTTTAAATGATGCTTATTAGTTGATGTTATAAAATTTGAAAATAGTATTTTATAGGGAATTGGTAAATTTCTGTAATCACTTTCTTTCCATTACTGAGAATTAAAGAATAATGTTAATTTTTTGAATCAGCTTATATTTCCTCTTCCTTTGAAATCAAAATCAGGGTAAATGATTTAAAAATTTTAAAGTTTATGTTCTCTGTCTGCATTTGAACTGACCTTACTTGCAGTAGAATGAAAAAAAAAAAAGAATCCTGCCATTTCTGCTGATATGTTGCGACATAAACATAAACTTAGTATCCCCGGTACAAAGAGTCAAAAGTATCAATTTGTCTATGTATTTTCATCTTGCATGATTCAAGGACAATATTATAATGTCAGTTGAAAAAAAAATCTCAATGATAATTATTAAACCTTAACCTTCTGCATTTTAAATATACTCAGTCAGTATCTTAAATCAAACAAAACTTTATCATAAAGATGAGTGTGTTTTGTGAGTTATTTTAATGCCAAATCCCAGAATGCAGTAATCAATTGCTTTTTGGATGGAAAAACAAGAATAATTTTCAAAATTGAGAAATTGATTGTGCATTAAATTAAAGTGAATGGTTTGCCATTTAAGAATTTTTTAAAATCAAGTTTGCAACTAATTACAGCAGAGAAGAAAAACAATCCAATCCTTTATTTATTAGAAATTAATAGCATACCCCAGAGGTTTATTTTAATATAAATCCTTAATATGCATTTTTTATTATTTCATTTTAATATAATGTCCCACCTGCTTTTACACCGCAGATCTAAAACACCAACTGTTTCAGAAAAAAAAAAAATGTTACCCATCAAATGCACTTGCGTTATTTAAAAAAACACTCATCTAGTGCAGTTATCATGAAATCACTGGCATCATATTTCCTTCATCTGGCCCTTGAAAAACAGGTTTTTGAGGTTTGGGAGATGGGGTGAAAATTTGACAGAATGTGTTGTCATTGGCAATGAGTCTTTGTGCCAAGTTTCAGCTCGATAGGTTGATGGGAAGTGGGTCAATAAGCCGTCTGAAGATTTTTGCCACACACCCAGACAGAAAGAAAGCAACACACGAACAAAAGTGAGGTTAATATAAAGGATTTAAAAATAGGCAAGTATTTTCTGATATTAATATGCTGTATTGTTAGTCAGCTGTCACACTGACTTTTTACATTTATTCCTTTATAATAAACAAAAACATGTACTAATGCTACAGAACAATTTTAAATGTAAAATTTTAGAATATTAAAAAAAAAAATCATTTAATTTATATACATACCTATTAGGTATCACAGAATATTAATTTAAACATCACTAGTCTGTTTTTTTCAATTTTTTAACCCATTGGAAGATTTGAGCATTATTGTCCATACAACAAAATATTTACAAATGAAACAAGGCTGTCCCACTGTAAACCATGGTCCCCAATTACAATATCTATAGTCACATAAATGTAAGTGTGGATATGAGCAATAAGTCAATAAGCTAAGGGCTTTGGAAAAACAGAGGCACCATCCTGTTATAAACTTTTAAATAATAAAATGGGCAACTCAAGTTTGTTAAAAACAATTTTTATAAAAAAATTTATTTGTATTTTAAAATTGAGTGTAAAACTGGTCAACTGAATTTTTAGTTAAAAGTTAAAATAATGAACATGTAAAAACTGAACAAAGAAAACTTGGGACAAAGTTGAATTTTATTTAACACTTCCATTTATAAATAGATGTTCTGAAAATATTGTCCCTTCCATTCATGGCAAGTGAAAGCTTTTCCAATTTTCTCTGTATAAAATTAAATGATAAATGACATGTATGAAAGATGCTGTGCTAGATTCCACTGCAACATGTTTACATTTTGTATGGCATGGTTATCGAGATTATCAAGTTAAGACCAAAGCTCTGCAGAAATATAAAAAAATATATAGGTTAGGTAAGGTATTCTGAAAGTCGCTGGAGTGATCAAGTTGTCTATAATATTGCATTTAACTTTAAATACTGCGTAAGTATAACTATAACCTTAACTTATGCTGATTTCCTAACTTGTATTTTGATTGGATTTAGATGAGTGAAATGTCCAGTATAAATCTTTATAGGCATTGACTAGTCATTTATTATATCTAAATGTACATTTTTATAAATAAATGTGTCCTATTTCTTCAATGTCTTGTATGCTGTTTTCTTTTTGTTGGTACTTAGCTTAACTACACCAAACTGAGTTCTGTCTTTTTTAGGAGGTGGGTTTTATGGGGGAGTGCGCGCCAGATCTTACAAACTTGGGCAGGGGGTGGATTTTGGAGATTTTTGCATTTATTCAACATTCTACTATAATTATTCTGAAATTCTGACAGCCTAAAAATAGCCTATTTATTTATTTAATATAGGGATAGCCGAAACTCACCTGTAACTAAAAGGCAGTGAATACATGATTTCTTATAATTTTAAAAGGCAAAGTTCACTGCAGTGTTTAGTAATTATTTCACACAACAGTAATACCATAGTGAAAACTTTTCTCTATACACCATTCGCCTTTGAAGTATTTCCATGTGTGTGATGTAATTTGGGACAATTATTTCGTTTGCCTGTACAGTGACAGTGATCACAAAAAGGGGAGAAACCCAGCAAAAAAATCTTCTAAAAATGTTTACTGTGACTTTATTTACCAGGGTTTTGTACATCATAATTATTGTCTTTAAATAAATACAGTAGAGAAGAGACAAGCGATACCGGGTACTTCGGAAAATGAACACTCCCACAGAAAAATTGCATTAAAGAAGTTAGTCCATAAAGTTTCAAACACAGGGGGCACCTTTCACAATCTGGGAGCAACAAGGGCGCGTCGGACTTAAAAATTAGTGCAATCTAGACTAGCACAAACATATCTAGCCTGGTGAATTTGGAAAATAAGCTTATCCTGACCTATGAAACCTTGACATGGCATGAACGTCATATCTTTATTCACAGCTTGAGCCTTTGCACCGCCCCTCCACATCACGACCAATCACAGTGGACTAACTTCTTTTTTCTTTCCCTTTTCCATATATAATCTCCCACCAGGATACAGACCAGACCTTCGACATTCTCAGTTTCCTCAACTTTAGCCCTTTTTTTAAGTGCTCTTTTTTATTTTATTTTTTTCTGTTTTTCGCTCATGAAGACTTTCTACCGACACGTTTCGATGTTTTGTTATGTTCCTTTTTTCAAGTTTGACCTTACTTTGTTTTACTCATTTCATATTTTGCTATCCTGATTGCAGTCTCTCCCATAATTACCATATTGTTTAACACATTGAATACAGATAAAATCTTGAATAAGAATAAAATCTTTTATACAAATATTAACATTATTATTTGATACAACAATTATAATTAGACAAGTTTATTTTTCAACTACGATCACTGATAGAATCAGTAGGCTTAGAATCAGTAAGTTACAGGCCACCATGGAGGAGGAGAAAATGGGCGTAGTTAGTGGCGTAGCTAGCGTTGGTGTCACCCAGTGCGGTAAACTCATGGTGTCACACCCCCGTCTCCCCCCCGACTTCCACGATGGATTTCTTTTTGAGCTCAAGAAGCTAATTGCATTAAGGACTATAACAACGTTAAGTATAGTTATTTTTCATAAAATTTAATTTATATGAGATTTTCCATTCCTGTTCTTTAAAGTTGCAAAAGTCATTTGATCATAATCAATATCCTTTACTGTATCACTATCAATTGAGAGTAGAGGCAGATCAGAAATCCTTGACTGTTCCATGGTGGATCTTAAAAAGTTATTGATAAGCCTTACTTTTGAAAAGCTCCGCTCACACGAAGCCACAGAAACAGATCGTAAGAAACAATTGAAGGCTAAGCGAGACTATTGGAAGAGATTCTAGGAAGTCCCATTGACATTGAGCTATGAATTTCAAAACATCAAACTTTGACTAGTATATGAAGTTGCAAAAATTAATATCAGCTGTCTTTAGGTGTGTTCTATGCCTTGGTATATCTTTTAAAAGTTCATATTTTGAAACTCATCATAGACAGAGGCTCATTATAGAACGGACACCAATAACTCTTTTTTCCCTTGCTCATAGACTCTTGGGTTGAACAGCCCAAAACATATCTGCTGCTTGATTGATCCCTGATAATCTGATCTAGGGTGTAGAATGAAAGTAATCAATACACTCCAGTACACTCCAGTATCCCCTTTTTTAAACCATAATCTCTACTGAATCTCTCTACTGAAATTCCATTTTGGTCTGATGTTAAAAGTGACTTTTCAATAGCATGTTCCGCCAAGTGACAGTGCTTCTCAAGCAGAAACAATCTTAAGGCCACTAGGTTGGTCACCACTTTTTCAAGAGTAAAGCCTTTAGTCTGCAGATACTGCTTTGCAAGATTAACTTCCTCAAGTAGACCAGCTCAAAGTTAAAGGTAGCAAATAAATGTGAAATTGCAGACAGTAAGTAAAAGACATTGCACTGAATGACAATCATAGGAATCGAGGAAAATACTAATTTGAGTATTTCTGGTATATTGATATTTTTGTTTCAAAAACCTTTTTTTAAATAAATATTTTTAAAAAGATTTAAATTAATTATTAAAGATATAAGAAAAGTGTGCAAAATATTATTTTG